ATCTTTAAAACCTCATTATCCATCCTAATCAACAAAAGTCCATTAAGGGTTACCAGAAATAACAACCTATCTATTATAAACTTGATCTAATAAACTCACTTGAATTCTTTCCTTTTACATGTATATCTCATTTTCTATCATTAAATAAATCCCCCAAACCTCATCATTCATATCTACTCAGTTAAAATCTAATAAAACTTACTAGAGATAACAACATAACTATTTTACCCTTCATCAGATAAATTTAAAATACCACAAATGAACTCTTTCCCATAAAACTCTTATCTATAAACAAAACCTTAGAGCATCGGCATCTAGACCTGGTCAAAGAAAATCCATTAACAATTTCCAGAAATGACAACCTATCAATGTTAACCTTGGTCAAATAAACCAACATTATATTCCTTCCACTTCCCCCAGCAATCTTATCTTTAGTTCCTTCAAATAGTGTCCAAACATGTGGTTTCTTTTCATTTTTTCTTTCTCTACTCACAAAATCATTGACAACCTTAACAAATCTATTTTGTAAAACCAATATAAAAAGGTTATCCAAGTAATTCTTCTGGTCTCTTATTTATACATCCTTTTTGGTTATTAGAACATCAGCTGGTTTCATTTATATGTTCAATATTTTGTCTTTTTCCATATCCTTCTTGTAGCTTATCATTTTTAAGTCCACATTTAAATCAATTTCAGTCTTGCCCAGTAAAACATGGTCCCCTTCCATAGCGTGATCTAGTCTATCAAGAATGGTAGAGATCTTTAAAACTAATTTCTGAGTGTATTGTTCACAAATATCTCTCAATGCATCCATTGTTTTATTTCCTTTTGGTGCCCTCTAGTGTCCAATATTCAAAGTCTCATCTCCTCATGTTGTTTTTCCTCTGAATGTAAAAAAATATGAAAATTTTCCCATGGGAAGGATTTTTATAATCAATTTCAAAATTTTATTAAACCAATCTGGACCCTTAGTCCATTTATACCTTTCTAAAATCAACCCTCTAATCACCCTTCTGCTGTTCATTAAAAAAAAAATTATAAATCAAACATGTACTTAAGACTTCTTTTGTAGTGGTTTGAAGTAAATTCACCCACTGTAGTCCATAAAAACTTGTCATTCCAGAGGTTCTCAATATTAAAAAGCAATAAAAAGTTATTCCAAAGTGATTAAGAAATTAGAATCAGCCAAATTTTGAGTCCTTAAACACTACATTACAACTATGAGCTTAGATGTAATTCCTCAACTAACAGCCACTCAATTCACAAGCCGACTGCAAAAACTTCTATTCCTGCAGGTTACTCATGAGGAACAGCTGTCCGGAGTACGTGTGGGCTATTTCATGATCTCTCTTTTCTCTGGAGTGATTTTGCCAGTCCAGATCCTTCATCCGGCTGTGGATTTCAGCTGTAATGTTGTCTCTATTTTTTCAGGGATGTCTTCAATTCGCTACTCACCGAAAGTCGCAAATCTAAATACTCTCAGTTATTTATTTTTTTATTTGGACGGCCTAGGCTTCCTGTAATTCTCCTGTAATTTCTTTGATTAACTTTCTATTGATTTATTGTTTACATGGAACTTTAATGTGTGAGTTCCATGGATATAAAATGCTTTCCTATGAAATACCAAAACACTGTATCTAACTTAAAATGTTAGACATACATACAAACAGTTCATTTCAGCAAATGTAAACATTTTAAATAATGTATTTTAAAATATGTATTTTTGCAAGCTATTTTCCAGAATATGTGCATTTTGAAAGACAATTGTCAAAGAAATATACCTTGTGTACTTTGTACACTTTTAACACACAGTTGCATCAGAAATTCTGAATACAGAAGCCAAAGAATGACTGCATTTTGATTTGGGCATTAGTTTAGTAAGTGCAAATCATGTCATTTCACTATAGAGGAAATGAATTCCCTATCACAAGATACAGCATGTCCAAGAGTAGTGATACTAACTTAGAAGTCTAAAAAAGCAACTTCTACAAGGAGACAACATTGGGTTTATTTAGCTGGGAAGGGAAGGGAAGGGAAGGGAAGGGAAGGGAAGGGAAGGGAAGGGAAGGGAAGG